GCAGATGAATAAATCTGTGTACACTTTGATTAGATTTCATGAAATCAAAGTAGTGAACCCTTTGTTATTTGTTGAATGAAACTAATAAAATGGCTAATTGTTTCCAATTCATCAATGACTATTTTAAATATCCTGGTAGAAAGGGATTTTAAGGGAAGTAAGAAAAGTTTATTCACTGAAAAGTAAGGGCAGGGTTTTAAAAGTCGTTGATTTCTGTACTAAACATCACCAGTTTAACTTGGCTGAACACTTACTGTAAGTCAGGAAATACGAGGTGTAAGATATTTTCTGAAAGTTTAGAATGTGAAAATCCCTTCAAATATATTACTTTTCTATATTATAGTTTGTTACTTCACGTTTAAACGTGAATTTATTCTTCTTATCGTTCCCGATATACATCACGTTGATTTTTCAACTCTAAATGAGATAGTAACCATTGAATTGTATTGTCGTTTGATTTTCTTCACTGTTCTATTGAATTCCAATGATTCTTATGAATTACATCTGTGTCACTTTACTTAACGTTTCGGTTAATAATAATAGTTCATTCCACTTCTTGATCATACTGCTTGAATCGACTGGATTTGTGCATTGTTTTTGATTGTGAATTCAAGCATACTTCCATAACATAAAATTGTCTCATAACAAGTTACTCTGAATACTGTGTTTTTGATATTTCTATAACTTTGAACATTACCTTTTAAGTAAACAGTACATGATCAATCTTGAAAGAATAGAATATTTTTCCTGTTTATTTATTGAAATTCGAATGACAATGTTTGTTTATATCACGGCGTATTTATATTTGTTTAGTTAATAATGTACAGTTATTAATATAATTTCATTTAGAACTGTTCCTGACCAAACTATTTTGTTGTGAATTTTAAATGAGCAAGAGCACGGAGTATCTAAACTAACTTCAACAGTTAATCTTCACTCCAAACTACAATAAGCAGTTGTTTTGTTTTCGTATGAGAAATGAGATATGATTTCACCTAGAATTGCACTTTTTCGTTAGTAAGGAGTCGTTTTAAAGTGTTCCAGTTTCATTAAACGTAGACTTAGATTTTACTATACGAAAAATGGGTATCTTATTTACACTAACGTTACGCAGAGACAACACTCCGAATGGTATTTATGTCATTCAATACATTAGGAGTAAGGGAAAGAGTAGTTTGCGTCCATATAAGTGTTATTCCTATATTTTTAACAGTCAAAACCATCATAAAGCTTTTCTGAATTTATAGTTCATCCATAACCTAAATAGTATTAGTACAAACAATAAACTAAGCAGCCGATAGCCGATAAGCGAATTTTATTTCTATATGTATGAATTTTCTATTCATTCTCGATTTAGATTCATGAATGCAATCATCGAGGTTATATTGATAGAGAAGTATTAGAAACTTTCTAGTGATTTCAAAACTTTCATTCAGAATCATATCAAATCTTGTTTTTAAAATCAGTAAAATTATCTGACAATTACATTTTGTATCGACTGGCAGTTAAATTCTGAGGATGAGCTTCATCAACTATTTGATGATTACACTTTAGTAGAGGATTGATCGATAAGATTGTTGCAAAGTTGCCCTATAACTAAACCTGCCTAGAGTTCATTTAAAATATCCAGTAATAAGGCAAATTACCCTTGTTAGGATTGGCATGATAACTTTTGACTGACACATAATAAGAATGGTGTAGTTTTTGAAAAGGACAAAAAATTAACAATAGTTTCCTTGATGTCAACTAAATAGCTTCTTGGTATCTTACACGCTATGAAGCCTAAGGGTTATTGATATGCTTGCAGCTATCGCGAGTTCACCTTACTTGGTAAACGGAACAAAGATCAACTATGTAGTGACAAGATAGGGTATTGTGAACCGATTGTCTCAGGCCCCGCTAACTACGTCAAGAAGTCTTGATATAACGTAGAGAGAATGTATTTTACAGCCACCCAAAAGATACGAGGTTGACAAGCACGCAACTAAAAGCTTACTTACACCGTGATAAAACGCCCCTCGTGAGCGCCACAATACAGCGTACTAAAATAATCCATTAACCATTGACAGTCAAGGATTTTCCGAGTGGGAAATGTAAGCTGAAAACCAACTAAGCGTCTTTGGCGCGAAAACATAAAAATTCAAAATTCGAGAAATAAATTACAAAATTCGGACCTTTTCGAAGTGAGTTCTGGTGATCTAACGTCCCCACAGTCTTAAAAGATCCGATATTAACTGTGACACTCCAGCTCAGTGTTACATATGTTGCTACTGTTGAGTTCCTTGATCACAAGACGACAGCATAAACACCTGAAATATTTATGCTTATTGATCAGTATGTTATAATTTTTCCAATGTCATCTATCTATTCGTATATTTTTAGTATTATGAAACAACGCAGTTTCGGTCAAGTACAAAAGTAATCTATTCTAATTTATACTATCTTCTGTCTTCTGAGATTTAGATCTATGATTCGTGGAAATAGATTAGAATGTAGACATTACACATTTTTTTTCCATACATCAGTAAATATTTGACAGGTTTTAGGTGATATATAGTATGAATTTTTTAAATGAAACGTTAAGTATTTTTTTAATTGGATATTATTAGGTAATTACATCCTAAAGGGAAAAGATTTCTCTACCAAAATGCAATTTTACTCAAATGTTAGAAATCCATGATTTCATCGATTTGAATACAATCAATACATTTGAATCCAACTAATGAATAATGGTTCTAACTATGTCAGTTGAAATAACTATTTTTTCGGGACGATATAAAAAATTCTCAATGGAGGAGTAATTCAGTAAATTCACAGACAAGAGTTTTATGTATACTTCAACAATTAAACATAAACTACCCTAATGTTGAAAGAAAGAACATAGTCTCAAGGGTTTTAAGATTGAAAAACATTACAATAAGTATTTTTTTAAAATAATAATTATAAAAATAAAACGAAAAGTTGAGGTTTCTGTCAAAACTTGTTAAGAATTTCAGTGCAGAAGAGTTAAATTTGAATAGTATGAAATTTTCCAGATAGTGTAATCTTTTCAACATGGCCAATCTGTAAAATATTTATTTGTATACCATGAGTACTTACTGATCAATCATTTGGCTAATAGTCATTTCATTCTAGTCGGTTTACAGTGCTATAATGATTAGTCCGTTCAAATGTAGCGCAACCTTTGAATATTGGTTTGTATACTCAGGTTCAAGTAACAATTTTTGTCATGGAGTCAATAGTAATCATTAATGAAGTACCCAAAGATAGCTTTAGAGCTTCAGTTGACTGTGTGAATCATTAAACCACAACTCCACTCTACCTACATGATCTGCTTTATTGTCGATTTGTAGTGCCTCCACGTATATTCGCGTTCGCATACATTTAATTTGGTCAAGGCCCTTTCGATTAATTTATTTAACCAAGCAATTTGTATAACAATAATTTATATGTACCATTGGCTTTTATTATTGTGTGGTTTGTATGAGCTGGTATGACTGAGCATTGTTTAACGCCTACCCACATATGCATCCTATCCGCTTTAATATTGATCTCTTAAATATCACAATGACTCAGACATTTTCCTTTGTATATAAACGAACATTTTAATCTTATAAATTTACTCGCTAGTGTGCCTGCCCGGTCTGCTTGTGGTCTGCTATCTCTATTTGTAGTGTGCCGAAATAAACGTATTCAACGTTTCGAGTTTACCTTCTGATTTATTAACCGTCAGACGCTATTTAGTAACGATTGTCTGGACGAGCCAATTACGAAGATGAAGAACACGTAGAAATTGGCCACCACAGATTCCTGAAGAAGTGACTTCGTAAAGTAAACACTTTTGAGAATGTGGACTCAGTAAATATAAGCACTGTAGTGAAGGAGAACACAGGTGAGGGCAACCGAATTGTATTTATCGCAAATTACAGAGTTACTCAATAAAATAGGAAAACCATATCGTAAATCGTTAATTTGCAAATCTTCAATCCATCATCAATCCATTGCCTGACATTTCAGCACTATTCATGCATTTCATACAAATTCCATTGTGTTCCCACTCTTCTTCCTTTCTTGATCTTCCCCCATCTTCTGCTGCCAGACATTACGTTTACACTCGCGTCATATACTACTTATAAGTAGTAGCGCGCACCACAGCACTACTTAACTTGATAATATGATCTATAGTAACTTGTCCATTACCACTTCATTTCTCATCAATGTCTAATGAAATTTTTCTTGAAACATCTAGTCCTTTTTAAAAAAAGAATTTTTATATTGTAAATTATTAATTATTATCATTACTATTATTATTATTATTATTATTATTATTATTATGTTGTCTATGTTGGTAATAGTTTCGTCATTTTTCTATCTCCTTATTGAACATTTCAATTAATCCTTTGATTTACATCACTTTTAGACCACATGAGGATTAATACTAGTATTCATTAGGAAAAAAATCGATCTCATCTCAACTTAATTCAATCACTACATTCATAAAGTAACTTAGATTCTCTCACTGTTCTTATCTTACGTCATTCACCCAATATACCATTAACATGATCAGAATAATTTTTGATTGTAATAAGGCAAAAACTCTTTTTATTTATTTTTTTTCCTCTTAAAAATAAAACATATATGAAATAATGAATAATCAGTATTACTATGACCTGATTGGTTGGTTTATCAGTAAATGGGAGAAAAAAAAAACTAAACAATTTCAAATGATCCTTCTTCCTATTGGTTGTTTTGATTGAATTTCAATTTTATTCATATGAATACAATACAAATCAGTAGTAGTATCAGTTCAGTAAATAAAATATGTTGATTTGATTAGATTCAATCAAGTTTTGATGTGTACTCTCTTACTTCTTAATAGTAATTCACAGGAATATGTGATATTTTCCCTTAAAACAAACAAATGACCAGCTTTATTTGTTGGTCAATTGACAATTATTATTCATAGTGGTGTCCTAATTATTTCTATTTTTTTTGTTAAAATGAAACCAAATAATAATTCACAAGATTTCAATATCACTTATCCAGAATCTGATCATACATTGTATAAAAGACTATTACCAAGAAACTATGGATTATATTCCGGATGTGATAATCCCATGAACAACTCAACACAACAACTACCTTTTTCATATTGTCATCATTATACAAGAGCAAGTTATTCCAATGAACCGATTAAATTCAAATCATCTAATGTTGTCAAGTTAGTCAAATCAAAAAGTAATCCTGGAGTCTTATTGAACAATGAAATGATCATGACCCCGACGGAAACAACACTAACACCGACACCAACCACATCAACATCCATATTGACATCACCAATTTCAACAGACAATAAAGAAACGATGCCAATAAATGAACCATTAATCGTTGTCAAATATCATAGACAATCATCACCTTTGCATAAATTTGAAAAAATTGATCCTCTTGTACATAATAATAATAAGCTTGATAAACCACCACATCACTTTAATCATGATCATTGTCAACAAACATTAATACATTCATGGAATAAAAAATTACATTCTAATTGGCGGTCAGAACCTTCTTGTTTATTTTTTAATTGGAAAGGCAAACATACATTTGACAAAGTTCACTATCAATCAAATGATCATGTTTGTCATAAAAATACATTATCATATCTACCAATGGTAAGTGATAGTTTGAGAAAAAATCATCAAAAATCAATCGATTCCATGCACAATCATTCACATAATCATTCTGATCATTTTAAAGATCTTGACTTGAATGATAATTACAAACCTATGAGTATGACAAATTCTGAGGCACACTTTTCAAATAATCATCATCATCAATTGCCTATAAATGATTATAACTCAAAATCACATCATGTTCAATCTTTGTCAACATTATCCAATCATAACAATCATCATAATACTATCAATCGATTGAATGTTAAACATTCAAATACTGACAATTTCTATACACCTAATCATATAACCAGTAATAATTTATCATCACCACAATTATCAACTTTAAAACTAACTAGTGGTCGATCTAAACGTGCATTGATTAATGTTGGTGGTTTTCGACATGAAATTCTATGGCATACAGTTGATCGTTATCCAAATACCAGATTGGGTAAATTACGTCATGCAACTAATTTAGAAGAATTATTAAGTCTGTGTGATGATTACGATCCAATTAATAGAGAATATTATTTTGATCGTAATCCAACTGTATTCTCGACAATATTGAATTTTTATCGATCCAAAAAATTACATTATAATGATACAATTTGTGTGATGGATTTTAAAGAGGAATTAATTTATTGGGGTGTTAATGAAAGTTTCATGAAAGCATGCTGTTCACATCGTTATCATCAACAAAAAGATTTAATTGAAGATGAAGTGAAAAAAGAAGAGAGTTGTTTAAGGCAAACAACAACAATTGATGAATTTGGTTCTGGTTGGTATGCGAATTTAAAGAGACAAGGATGGAATTTATTAGAAAAACCACATACATCTGGAGCTGCTCGAGTAGGTGATTTATTTGTTTATTGTAGATATATTGAAATCATTGTTAGACAGTCATTGTTAGAACACTATTAGAAACCTAGAGGAACTGGACGGTGGTTTCGTCTTGGTATGGGACTCATCAGCAGTGCGCACCCACGATTCCTACACCTCGTAGGATTCGAACCCAGCACCTAAACTCTGGACCACAGGGCCAACATTGAACAAAGTTAATGTTTAACTCTGATCGATCTAAAGATTTTGCGTAATCTCACCAATTTGTGTTTGGTAGTTGCGTGACCCTTTCGGGAGTCCCATACCAGGACCAAACGGCGTTCCGGGGTTGGACTTCATTGGTCACGTAACTACCAAAGGCAAATGGATGAGGTCACGCAAAATTTCTAGATTGATCAGAGTTAGACATTAACACCATTACATGCCGATGGTTACCCGTTCGCGCACAAGACCGAAAGGTCCTGGGTCTGAATCCTGTGAGGAGCAGGAGTCGTTGATGAGCATTGATGATCAGTCTCATTCCAAGACGAAACAGCCTTCCAGTGCTTCTAGGTTTCCAGTGATGATCTAACAATGATTCAGTGATTGATGATCTCACTGTGTGAAAACACTAATCTGTCTAGCTCTAATTGACATAGTGTAAATAAATTTGTATATTCGTTATCATATTAAATGTGTACATTGTTGAATTCCATCATGTAATTTATTAGATATCAATTTAAAACAGAGTTATTCACTAGTATATTTTCGAAAGTGTAGCTGACAGTCAAATCCCAAATATAAATGTTTCTTACTATTTTAGACTAATCTAATGAAAGTATCTTCAATCATGTGTTGATTTTTTTACATTGACTCTTAAATCCAATGTCTATTATCTCAAAATTTAACATATTTACTGATATGCATTATGGGGTTGTGAAGATTGTTAAGTTACACATTTTTTGAAACCATGAATCGATCAATGTTAGACCACCATTAGAAACCTGGAAGCACTGGAAGACGGCCGTTTCGTCCTGGTATGGGACTACTCATCAGTGGCAGTGCGCATCCACGACTCCTGCACCCTGCAGAAGTTCAACCTGTTCGGGTGTAGGCAGTGTCTACCGAATACTGTGTATGAGGTTGCGCAACTCCGTGAATTTGATCAAGTTAGACATTAACACCGTTAAACACCGGCTCAGTGGCCTAACGGTTATAGCGTTCGCCTACAACACCAGGACAAAACGGCCATCCAGTGCTTCCAGGTTTCTAATGGTGGTCTACATTGGTCTTAAAAAATATTTACTGATAATCTATCCAATCCAAATAGTCATCTATTTATTTAACATATATATATCATGGTATTTTTAAAAGTTTATATTATATTCTATAGTTGTATACACTTGGATTGTATTGTGTGTTCGCTAAACTATTGGCTAAAATATTGTAAACTACTGTAAAATGGGCAATCATATAACTTAAGCATGGATAATTTTATGTCAGTTCCTACACTGTTTTTACAAATATGTATACATAAATGTTATTAAACTGAACAACACTAAAAATGACTGATGAGTTTTACTTATACAAAAATTGCTAAAAAACAAAACCCCTACAATATTCATCCCAGTAAATAGTGTCTCATTCAGTAGTTTTCAATGAATTTATTACATTAAAATGTCAACTGGATTGTTTGTTTACACTAATATATAAAATATTTTTATGATCAGAAAATGTTCTGTGTATATATATGTATATAAGCTTATAATATGAAATAAAAATAAAAATGGTCTACAAAATATCTCTCTCTGTTTTGTAGTATTTATTATTTAAAATAATAATAATAACAATAATAATAATAATAATAATAATTTTATTCTGTTTACTAATTCTACTGACTGATAACTGATCATTTCAGAAATAAATCTGATAACATGTTGATAATATACTTTTGGGGCACAGTTTTGGAGGTTTGCGTTTTTACACATCTGAAATCATCACCACCATTAGTAACCTGGAAGCACTGGACGGCCGCTTCGTCCTGGTATGGCACTCATCAGCAGTGCACATCCACGACTCCTGCCCCTCGTGGGATTCGAACCCGGGACCTTTGGCATTGTAGGCGAACGCCTTACCATCGGACCACTGGGCCGGCATCCAACGGTGTTAATGTCTAACTCTGATTAATCTAGGGATTTTGCGCGACCTCACCCATTTGTCTTTGGTAGTTACTGCCTACACCCGACAAGGTTGAACTCCATTGATCATGTCTTCTCAACACAGTTAGATGGATAAAGAAAAAACTTGTTGAAGAGAAATAGGCGGATTTTTGGTCAGTATTAGAATTTTAAGATACAGTTTTCATGTTGTATTTGAGGCTTCTTGACTGTGTGTACTTACTACATTCGAGTACTGGTATTCATACTGGGTGCTTGAATTGAATACCCTTTTTACTTTACAACTCTGACACGGTATCCACTAGATGACAATTAATTTGTGCAATCGATTTGATATTTGTATGATTATTAGAATGAATCTGAATCATACGGTCGTTAGTTGTGTGTTGATTAATCTTTGTTGGGAGTTCGTAAATTGTTAAACCAATACGCAGACGACATTTAAGTGATCAGTATGCGTCCAGGATTAAAGATTTACTTGAAGGCCTGTCCTAACCGAATAGGAAGTACAAAGACCTATGATCAACAAAAACAGACTACAACGCATCAATAAATTGATATAACAACTATACATGAATGAGTGAAAAGTGACTGTGAGTAGCGGAGATTGTTAGTAATAAATTGTCAATAAAGTAGGAACAGTTAAACTGTATGACAATAATTTGTGGGTTACTAAAATGCTCATGATAAAAGGAACATAGGTACCTGATATTTTAGTTAGTAAATAATTATACAATTCGATTATATGCATCAGTAGTTCATAAATCATATGCCAATTACTACCATTTAGTCAAAACCGGTCGGATTTTCGTCAACCACAAGATAGTTCAAACCTATTCCAATAATGAAATTATATATATATGTATATAAACGTTAGGAGTGTGTTATTTATTGGTCACAGGAATTCCCAACTGATAAACAATGTTGTATGGTGCTTAAATCCAACTATAAATTAGTAAAGTTTTGTTTGTGACAGATTTGGTCTCGCTTGCTGTTACGGGTATGAGGGCGGTTGTCACTTCCTGGTCGCCCAAACCGTGGAAGGGTGTTTCTTGAGGAACCTGAAGAGAAAGGTTGATTAGGATTGGTATTAGAGGCCTGGAAGCGTGGCCGCAGAGCCCAAGGGACAACTGCTTGGGGCCGGTCACGCACGGCCGTTTTATGAGAAGTTTTTTGAGTATTAGCTCCGCTCTTAAGAGCCCTTAGTGGGCACCCTTACCGCCGGAGACGGAAATCCGTGAGGTAGGGTGAGGTGTGACATTTTTAGGGTCAACCTTTTCTAACCCTTCCCATCCTTGTGATAAGGCAGCATCGCTGCGGATGCTGGTTGTCCTTACTGCTGTCACACCTCTCCACAGTCAGCAGTACGACTTCGTCCTCAGACCTTGAGTAGCTACTTTTAGTCTCATCGTTCTCCAATCAATCTGCCTGGCATTGCAGAACCTTCAGAGATTCATGTTTTCTAGCCAATATAGCTCGTTCAGGTTAGCACGATAGGCAAGCCCGACCACCACATCAAGGTAGCAGCTACAGTCGGGCTATAAATTATTTCATCTACAGTAGTCTTATTTCTTTGTACTACTTACAAAGAAAACTGTTATCACTGAACAAATATCATTAATTTTTAGCTTTTGGTTTATTGATTATGAGTTTCGGTGACAGTTATTATTATTTTTTCAATAAAATTGCTTTCCACATTTACCCATGAATAGTTGATTTAAGAAAAAAAATAAAGGTTGCTAAATACATTTCAACTTGCCAAAAAATCTAAGCTAACACAATGATTCTTTCTTGTTTTCTTATATATTCAATCACCCTACTGTAACAAACATTATCAGTCTATAATCAAACATTGTATACAATGAACAACATCCTGAATCATTCATTATACATCATCTCATTGTTCTCTTACTTCCTATTACAATTGAAACAAGGAACTAAACCATGATTACTCTTTATTCGTATATATATAAAATAGTAGTAGTGTGGTGCTGTGTTGCGAACTACTTATAAGTAGTATATAGCGTGAGTGTCAACGTAAAGTCTGGTAGCATAATATGGGGGGAAGATCAAGAAAGGAAGAGTCAGAAAACAATGGAATTTGTATGAAACGCATGAAGAGTGACAATGGATTGATGTTTGGCAACAGGAACAGTCCAGTTCCATAGTATGAACTGATCTTTTGCAAATGAACGATTTACGATATGGTTTTCCGATTTTACTGACTAACTCTGTAATTTTCGTTAAATACAATTCGGTTGCCTCCACCTGTGTTCTCATTCACTACAGTAGTATATAAATAAATCACTGAAAATTTATACTAAACAAATGCCAAAGAACTACTAATCAAAAACTGAATTATATTCATTCGAACAACCCGATTTCATAAAGTATTGTTTTTTGTTGTTGCTGTCCAAATATTGCACAACCATAGTTAGTTTATGATTTCTTTCGTCGCCTACATTGGTTTGTTCAGTACAAAATTCTAGGGCCGATTTCTTCTTTGTAATCCTTTTACTCACTCATTTTTAACTAATCATCGAAACATACTATATTGATTTTATACATTATCTTTCTTATTCAATAGAATGTCACTTTGTTTTTTTTTTCATTTCATTTAATTTCATTTCGTTTCTGTTTATTATAAAACTTTGTTTGTTTAAACTAATTTCCCGCTTTTCAATTTTTCATTTTCATTCATTTCATCTTATATGAAAAGACATTGAATCTTTAAATCTTGTTTTTTTTGAGAGACACAGAGAGAGAGAGATAGTTTGCATATATTTATGACAATGAAAAATTAGCAAGAACAATAAGCAATTAAGAAATTAAATAAAGTAAAATAATCACAAC